CGGGTCCTTTTTTCTTCAAGGAGACAAAGCGGTCATTCCTTGGAGCTGATTTAATAGGGGGATTTGTTAAAGTTTCCAAATGTGCGGCATTCCTGATGGATTTACTGTAAAAAGACGTTTTCGTCGAGAAGAGTCGTACACCAAAGCAAGTATTTCAAATTTTTTCTGAGAATTTAGACTCAAAATATAATACATTGGGTTAGATTAGATATTCTACTTGTCGGAATGATTCCTCATCTAATAATAATTCATAACACATTGTATAACAATTTAAATCGTAGTGCTTAGAAATATGTAACCTCATTTAAATTCAAAGTGTGTATTTCAGTAATTAATACTGTACAATGAAACATTCCCTCTTGTTTTATTCAGTTCAACATTCAGAAGCTAACTATAAATAGTTCATTTCGTGCGATTTGGGCAATTTTTGAAAGTACATGCATTTTTGTAGATATTGAATTAACAAAAATGTTTTATCCTACCCTTGTATATAATTATACTACAATTTCTTTGGTTTTAAAGGAATAATGTGGCCTATAAGTCACTAGTGAGTTATAAGTCATAAGTCACTAGTAAATTATGACTTATAACCCATTAGTGAAAATTGTACGATTTGTTCTCTTTCTAAAACCTTGGAATTTCTTGGTTGAAAATGTTTGTGCTCAGACTTTAGAAATGCCATTAGTCTTCCGAATTTAGAAATTTCAATGTTCTTGTAAACTCCCAAAGTTGACTTCAACATGAAATATTTAGTCCACAATGTGGATGGAGCTAATTTCTCACTTAAATTGAAAAAATAAGCCAGCAAGACATCTTTATTTACACCTTTCACCTCTCGACTACGTTCTCGAATAAATAGCTCCATTTAACATATGGGGCAAAGTTTCAAGTCCAATTCAAATTAATAGCGTTCACCTGGAGCAAGCTAACGAGGAGCGAACTCTCCTAAGTGCCGAACTAGGTGAGACACCAACAACGTGACTGTAATCGAATTTAATTCTCTCCTCCGATAATCGTCTTCGAGGAAGGACCGCGCCAGGGAAGGCTTACAGTGATTGGGTTCCCTCCTTGGGCCGGGCCTTACCCCCTAATCCGCTTATCGGATTAGAAAAGTCATTTCGTGTTCCTTTTGCCGAGCGCAGTCTAGTAGGCTGCGAGATTGGCTCACATCCGTTCGGAAAATCCCTGTAACTGAATCCCTTTCCTTATGAAATTCTTATCATCTCTGGTCAATATGCTGCTTAACGCCCGAATTGGCTTGCAGGGGTCGCCCTAAGACGGAGAGAAATAAATTTTTCAGTGGGGGCGCGGGGTGTTCTTCAGGGAGCGGACACACTCACGGTCGGTTGAGGAGTTGGCGTCGAAAACAAAAGACATGGAAATTTGAAAATATATTTTGCTTTCTGGGAATTTACGAGCCATATAAATTATAATTTGAATTATCCGAGATTATCTCAAATAAATGTATGTAGCAAATAAGATTAGAATAAGTAGGCTGTAAACATAAATTAGTTGTTCTTTATTAGGGTACATAAGCACAAACCGAGTAGGTAATGACCCGGATAAGTGTTAATAGGGATAGGGTAATAAAAGTAGGTACCTGGGGACAAGGATAAAACGAAAACATTTCGAGGCACGGATGAGAAGTCTTGAGGCCTAGTTACTGCTCGGTTGTGTCTCGTGTTACCAGCGAAATTAGTAGAATAAAGTTTTCCATGCTACTTAGAGTTTTTCTCCTCACTTGAAGACCAAACTACTATAAAATGATCGTTTTGGTAATTTCTCTGGACAGAAAGCTTTAATATTTCGAAGAAAGTCAGATACAAAGTAAAGATTCTATTAAAATATTAAATTAACGTAAAAATATGATAAAGGAAGTAACTTTATGTTTATAATGTAATTGTGAATGTCATTTCAACTGAAATTACCTATTTCAATTAATGTAATTGTGTGATATTTCTTTCTATGAGGTAAATGAATCTATTCAGTACCGATTTGTACGCATTTCAGGCGGTTTGATAAAGATAAATAAAATCCAGGGCCCTTTCGCCTTCCGAATTAAACACCTATTTATTCATATTGCCCGTATTGTTCAAACAAACCTCCGGCAATTAATCACGTCTAATTATTGGCAATTAGAGGTGCTCCGGCTCTTTCACGGATTATTAACCCAACAAAGACCAGCCGTTCGATTACCTCTGGCCATTATAGTCCAGGCGAAACGGTAGAGCATTCCAGGCGTTTGTATTTGAAGTCATCTATTTTGTTATAAAGAAAAATCCCAAATATTATGTAGAATAAGAATCCGATTTTACCTATTCCAAAAAACCATTGCTAAATTCAGGGGAACAAACATACAAAAAGAACGAAAAATGACATATTTCCCTGTCATATTGAAAGTAAGTCCTAAATCAAAAAAAGTCTTTCTTTATTTTTTGTTTATTTGACGATTTTTTATAAAGTTACGACAACTACGAATCAAAAAAGTTTAATTTTGCATTAAAAATGGGCGAAAAATAGTAGAAAATTTTGTTAAACTTCAATGAATTAACAGAGATCATTAAAATAAGAAAATATATATTTCTTTAATTAATCGTTAAAACGTGAATTTCATGAAAATGCATTGATGAACACAAACTAATAAAACTTGATTACCATAATGTAACTACATATGTTTTAAAAGCAAACGAAAGTGGATTCTTTAAACTCAAAATTCGTGCAAAAATTATTTATTTTACTGATTTTTGATGACATATTCGTATTCTTCTCATTTTGCTATATCAAATTAAAAAAAAATCGTCTTGATAAGTGCTACCGTTCCCGAGAAAAATCATCTTTTTGTATGTTTCTTGTTCCCCTGAATTTAACATTGGTTTTTTGGAATAAGCAAACTCGTATTCTTATTCTACATAATACATAATATTTGGGATTTTTGTGTACAATAAAATAGATGACTTCAAACATAAACGCCAAAACCTACTTTTACTACTCTAGCGCCTGGACTATTAGGCATTCCGACCCAGAGCATAATTCATCTTAATTTCCGACGCTATGCTCGCTTTTTCACTGTCACTCATACCCGTACCTTTTTTTCCAAACTGCCGGGAAAATCCTAAGCGTATAGATCGCTTCTAATGTTACCCTGTAAAATTTGTGAGAGAGATAAAATTGAAACAAATTTCTTATTGAGTCAAAGCTAGTGTCAAAAACAAAATTAAGAAGTAAAGTTTCCGCGCCATTTCCTTTGTGTGCAAACATAGCGAATGTCTGGAGGCGTCGGCGCTTTTAAGCTTAAATTTGTGTATGAAGAAGGTCTTTAAGTCTAGTGTGGTTCTGCCAGTAATCAGCTTAGATCTTTTGAAGGCGCGACTACAATGAGATTCCTCCCGAGCCGTTTACCTGTTATTCTATTGCGGTCGTCGTCTGTGAGCAAAAAAGAGATTTGGCGGGCCTGAAATTACTTTTTTGATACGTTGTATTTATTTATCCGGAGCTATTTTCATTCTGCCCCACGGTTTGTATGACAAAAACAAGCGCTTTGGATGAAGACAAGTATGTACGTTTCGCGCATTCTTCCATGACAGTCATAGTTGAAAATAGGTACTGGAATAAACGTTAAAAAATAATTAATTCTGAATTTAATGTTTGTGGAAACCAGTACCAGCTACAACTTTTGGTTGGGTTGGGCTGCAAGTTCTATGGTGGCAACCGATTTTTTTGATACCTTGAACTACTGGGCCGGTTATTTTATTATGATTCCAATCTATTCAAACTATGAAAACAATTTCAATGATAAATTAGCCTTCCGGTGGGTTGTCCGGCCCGATAACAATCTCTTCGGTGTAATAATTGATGAAGCTGAGGAAACGTCGTTATCCATCATCGTTACGTTAACGTATTGTGCTCGAGATAGCGCACAATAATAATTTAAACACTACCTGGTGATTCATCATTAAGGGAATCGACATTTTTACAAGAGGTGTCAACCCCGATGCATTCACACGCTGTCGATCGATTATTACCGAATTAGTGGACGGACAGGTTGGCTACCAGTTTTTGCTTTCACTGACAGGACACTCTAATAAGCTCGGATAGAGAGAGACGGCAGTATCTTGAGGGCTATATTAGGAGTGACATACGTAGACTGTTACATGGCCTGTTGTAATCAAAATAGTAGATTACAAGCCCATCGGGAATTTTCAAGGGGTCATTTGACCCAGCACGAATTACTTATAAATCAGTACTATCACATATGCCAATAACTTTAGAAACTATGCCGTCAATTCTTGTTGGTACAGGTGACTGATACAGGGGTTAGAAATGACATATGTGGTAGTACTGATTTATAGGTAATTCATGCTGGGTCAAATGACCCCTTGAAAATTTCCGATGGGCTTGTAGTATATAGTTGTTAGTGTCCTATTAGAATATTAAATTGAAGGTAACCTACAGAATAAGTTACCAGTTACCCGTCTGAGTTTATTTGTGCACCGCAAGCGCTTACAGCCAGCTTTAGATACAAATAATTTACCAGCTTGTTTGCAGTAGGTACGGTAAATAGAGCATTAACAGCCTCGTAGAGAATCGGCCTTATTTATCTAGAGAATAACCAGCGTGTCATTCTAAGCGATGAATTTGTTAATCTCGGCTCGTTTTCCGGTCTAGTAATTATTTCTTTACGAATGCTAAATATAAACTTCTACTCCAGATTTAGGTAAATTAACAGCTGTTTATAGAGATCTGTAAGATGGCGGTAAAGACGACACGGATAGTGCAATAGTACTGGCAGGTGCTTCGGACACAAATAGGGGTGTGAGAGTAATATTAGTTCATTTGTAAAAGCCTCTAATATTTATGGTTACACAGTTCAGAAAACAAAGAGTTTCGATTTGTATAAAGATTCACAAACTAAAAACAATGCTTTAAAAAAGTTAATACAATTTTTTTTATTTATTTTTTATTATTTATTTTAAATGACAATTGAAAAAAATAAGGCTTACCTTTATTTCAGATTCCAGAGCAGTCCACAAGTCAGGGGATTTAAATTACAACGCAACCAAACAGCGATCTAAAAAAGAAAAATTCTGTCAGTATGATTAATTAATTTAAAATTTAATTAACATATTTTTAATAACGTTTACTTCATTCATAATATTTGTTTCTTGATTTCCGTTTGCTGAAAATTATTACAACGATATCTACTTCATTTATATGCTGTTTTATTAAAAACAAGAATGAAATTAAATGTAACATCCGGTATATATTCAATTTTTGGATTCTGTAGAAAATTCTAGACCTATTTCTTGTACATGATGGTATAATCTTACTGCATCGTTACTATTTTTTCTGGATTCGAAAAACACTTGGATATTCATCTTGGGTATAAATATTATTTGCCATAATTATTCTGATAATAAATTAATCAACTGGTACTAATTATTGGTTGACAGAAAGTGTCAATTTATTAATATGAAAAATAAAAATTTATTTGTTATGACGTCCGCCTACTTTATTTTTACAAATTTTCGCAATTACCCCTTTAGTGGGTAAAATTACAAGATGTAAAAAAGTTGTGCAATAAATCAGTCTTCCCAATAAATATTTTTAAATAAATAATTTGCTTCATATAAAAAATTTCTAATAAAATATTGCAGTGGGGTTGACTGATTCACTCCTTTATAAAATACGCCAATGATCGAACAAATATTGAAAAGTTCTCTCTTTATTAATAGGATGCTCATACCAAGTTTCTTGTCTCTAGCGTTCCTCATGTTAAAGAAAAAAATTAAAATGTGAATTTCAGTCTCCTCCAGTAGTTCTGTTCACAGAAATCGATAAGCATTTCTACGTTGCCGAGTAGAGATGTCTCTTCTTAAATCTATGGAATTATTCCTTTATTTATTTCAACAATTATCGTGTATATATAGAATTATCAACTTTTATTGACCCTTACGTCGCTCAGTCGTTGTTGCGCGCTACAAAACAATGTTACTAACATGCGTGCTGGTTTCTTTTATCTGTTTAATAGTGAGAGCCGAATTTGAAGCTGGTAAGAAAAAATCCTTTTAATCTATTGATTTTTTTACAAACACTAAAAGATGTCATACAGAAATTGTAATAGTAGTGTGGGTACACATGTTGCAAGTGACCCATTTTTAAGCATTACGTCAAGAGCGCCAGCAGGACGCTGCCGGACGTACCAGCGTTCCAGGAAGGGTCCACGGCGGGCTACTGGCGCCGGCGACTAGATGCGTACTCATATAAAAAAATCCCCACCATCTATACAAATAATTTCTTACGTAACTTTTCGGATTTATTTATTTATACTTATATTTACTATTTAGGGAGCTACTTATTTATCACTCTTTACCAAAACTGCATTTTCTTAGGCTATTATTGGCTGGACTACAGCGGAGGTCCTATATCCGAAAACTGTTTAAAATTAGACGTTAACAGCGATGTCTACGTAGGGCAGGTGTACAAAAAACCATACGAATTGCTTCCTGCATCAGTTCGTATCCAATCACCACTTGCTACAGGGAATGCTTACGATGTCACTTACACGAGCAACAAATATGTTAAGGTAAGTTGGCCATTTTTCTGAAAATGAAATTAATTAAGATAAGCATTTCTTCTTATACATAGACGTCCTTTTTTTAGATTGTTTGCAGTCAGTTCCCAGAAAACTTCAAGTGGGTAAGGACGAACTTCTCAAAGTACCTTTCAGTTCCAAATCTGGTGCCCAGTGGGGAGGAAGTCGGCATACCTGCGTACATTGGTCGAGCCTATGAAAATGGCAAGCCGTATTTGGGGAAACTGGGAAAAGTACTCGTTTACCCTGTTGGAACAAAGGCAAAGTACACCTCTGGTCCATTTGATGTTCTTACATACACAAAGCCAGAGTATGACAATTGTGGTGTGATTTGTCCACGATAACGGTATGCTTTTAATTGGACAATTCAAAGTATGTGTTACTTATTTGAATAAAGTATTTTAAAGTAGTTTGTCCAAGTAATCTTCAATCGAATACAATTTTCCAAAGTGTGGTCCTTCAGGTGTACATTTGACACCTCGGAAACATTCTTGTATAAAGACATTTTTCTCACTCTTGTAGTTCCAAAGCTACATCTATAATTTTGTTCGAAACAACCACTGCGTCTTCATATCCGTCCAATAAATGCCTCATCAAAGTAATGACACGAAATTAGACCCTTCGCGAACGTGAATGACATAATTTCAACGGTGTCGCAAGTACTCGCCGATTTTATTGCATATCAAACGGGCTTTAATCAGCATTCTATTGAGGCCGATAGGCGTCGCGGCGCCGCTACACCGTCTGAGTGCCCATCATAAATGTAACGTGGCCTTAGTTAATTGCCCATGGCTGTGTGTCATTTCACTTCGATAATTTGGGACCTGGGGCTGGCGACCATCTTGTCTGAGCAGGGGTTCCGTTGAAGCTTTATTTCTTTTTTAAATTAATAAGAAGATTTTGTAAGGTGCCAGAAAAATATTCAGCGGGGAATTATTGACTATAGTTTATAAGACTTTTATAACTACAATTATATAAAAGTGTTCATAACTAGTTCAATTTAATGGGTATATAATAACAATAAGTGACAGTAATTTTTTTCAACCCTCGGTCGGAGGTGAAAAAAAGATAAAATATAGGGGTTTTTCAAGATAACTCAAAAGGGGTAGGAGCTAGAAATAAAAAATTCTTATAAAAGTTGTAGAGCACAAAATTCTACATAAAAATGGTCTATTGACTTTTCTTGTACTATTAAAATTAACAGAGTTAAGGTGGCTAGAAGTTAAGGGATGATTTCAGAAAAATGATTGAATTTTATATATTTTTTTCAATCTACTCAAAAAAATGTAAACTTTCCTTTCAGAGAAATTGGTATATGTATTTTTTTATTTTTAATAAGAAAGCTATAACAATTTCAATTTTTTAGTCGTTAATTTTTATGATTTAACACTAAAACATTGATTTTTCTATGCCATTAGATTGATTATTTAAAATAATGAAAAGTTGCTTTAGAAATTTTGTTTTACGATAAAGAAAAAAAATACGTTCGCTTTGTGAAATTGTTATAACTTTTTATTAAAAATTAAAAAATATATCTATTTCTCTGAAAATACAGCTTACATTTTTTAGAGTAGATTGAAAAAAAATTGTATAATTCATTTATTTTTCTGCTTGCTCTAATTTTTTAAATTTCTGAAATCGTCTCTAACTCTATTAATTTTAATAGTACAATAAAAAGTCAATAGACCAATTTTATGTAGAATTTTATGCTCTACACCTATTATGACTTTTTTTTCTAGCTCTTAGCCCTTTTGAGTTATCTTAAAAATCCCCCTTTATTTTATCTTTTTCACCCCTGTCCGGGGGTTGAAAGAAAAATACTGTCACTCACTTATTGTTATTATATCATGTTTAAAGTACGAACTTTATTTTCTTTATACATATAAACTCGAGTATAAATTACGAGACACATCGTGGTCAAAGCATAAGAAGAAATTTCAGGAGAAGTGTATACGGTCCTGTGCTTTAACATTTACAGGTTCCAATTGACATCGTAACAACTATTTTACCATATGTAAACTCTTATACTCTTTCCTATATATAAATAGAAGTTTGATCCATTTTTATACTCAAATTTTTTTAATTTTTATACAAATAAAGGCACCATTAAATAAGAAATACAACGACCCTTAAAATTTCACTGGAAAGTGATCGATCCCATAAATATTCGCCTATAAAACTCCCTGAAATATGTGAAAAAAAATCCCTCCTTTGAATTGAAAATCAAAGTGTGTCTCGAAATTCCTGGGCAAGTTTATTGGTATTCAGTCCGCTAGGCTCCCTGTTTTGTGGTTGTGCCCTGCCTATCGCTTTTCTCTCTACTGCTAGGTATGTTCTTTTCAACATTCGCCAAGCAATTCATTACTCTTTTCAAAATCGTTTAGCGCTTTCTTTTCGAACGTAGAACTAAATACATTTTAGTGGAGGAATGTTTTACATTTGCCAGTTTCTGATTGTAATTGTCAATTGTCTTAATTCACAAAGGATAAAATATTCCGATAAAGGAAAAAATATTTAAAGTATTACTCGGGGTATACATACTAGATAGATAACAAAGAGATAAACAACATTATAAAACGGATATTCGCTTTCATATCTCACAGTGCAAATGTGGTTTGCAAGTTGCAAAAACAACAGTAAAAATGTTAGTGAAACTGGTGTGGGTCTTTATTTATTGCCTTGTTTCTACTGCAGAGGCAGAATTTGAACTGGGTGAGGAATAAAAAAACGTTACTTTTATCTGCTTAAATATATCCATTGATTTGAATTCAGTTTTCAGAGAAAATAATTTCATTTGTTAGTACAAAGTTATATGTGTAAAAAAACAATAGGGACAAGATAAAATCATTTCACATATCTTATAAAACTGAATGACAGTATCAGTAGAACATTAAGAAATAAATACGACGAATTTGTGATAACAATTATTGTCAAAACATATTTTTCTTAGGGTCATACTGTTAACATGTACTTCACAAATCACAGGTTACTACAGGCTAGACTATAAAGGAGGCCCAATTTCCACAAATGCTTTGAGAGTAGATAACAACACAAACGTCTACGTAAGACAGGTCTATACCAAACAATACGAATTACTTCCTGCGTCAGTCCGTACAAGTTCACCAATTGCCACTTCAAATGCTTATGCATCTGAGTTTACGTCCGATTCCAATGTCAAAGTAAGCAAAATCCCTTAAGTAACACCCACGTACGATTTTTTATGTGCTTGGGTAGTGTTCTGTACAGGCTGTCCTAAGCGAGCTCCGTTCTTTCATAGTTCCAAGAATGCAAACGTGTTTTCTGTTAATTTGGCGTTTTTAGATCATAAACCAGCTTTGAATTTTGAAATAAAACATATTGTGTACTATTGCATTAGGTATATAAACAACTGTTACATCAGGTGTGCCACAGGGTTCACATCTTAGCCCACCTTTGTTTCCATTATTTATATATGATCTTAACCGTTGCTTTCTCTCTAATTTTACTGTTTATGCTGATTATCTAAAAATGTATTGTACAAAACCGAAAACCAAAAACAAGTTTTGGCAGATGCGCAATAAAAAAATTAGGTAACTTTTCAGTTTTCAGTTTTTTGCTGAAATTAATGAGGCTATGGAACAATGGAACTTGTTTGATATACCATGTATTATTGATGCAAGGATATATATGTACTATCAATTACCCTTTATTTTTATTTTTCCATATTTTTTATTTTTTTTCTCTATTTTTTGCATAGTTAATTTTTCTCTCTTTTATCTTTTTTAATATTTTATTGCTAGACTAAAAATATCCTGTTATTGGACACCGCCTGTTGAATGTATATTTTAAATAAATAAATAAATTTCCCAGTTCATAGCGGGAGCTTCACCAAATATCAATTTTATATTACAAATATAGTGTTTTGTAATTTCTTTTTAAAAATTAATAAATAATTTCCTACTTGTACGCTTATGACACGCACTGACACGCCTCAGCTGAAAAGCGACTCAGGCTTTTATTGGATTAAGAACTAATACAAATTGTAGTTTGATTAAATTATGGCTCAACTGTCTACTATTTTGACAGTGGATAATGGTGGACCTTTAAAAATACATACGCTACCAAGAAAGTTTCAGGTTTCAGCCTCCTGAAGAATTGAACGCCTCTTGGAAGTTAATGACGTATAGTAAATCACCCTTTCGATGACGGCCGCAATATGTGCACGTCTTTTAAACATGACTGCTGCTGCATAAGTGAAATTCTTAGAAATATAAATGTCATAACAACACACAAATTGCTTTAAATACGTACTAGGTTCCGAGAACGGTGTAAGGGACTTTTTAACAAGAGCTATTAGCTGCCATTAATTTGAGAAATTAGCGTATTTATATGATAAATGTCAGGTTGGGAGGTGTACGAGAATTTTTCTGCTTTTCTGTGATATACAGGGTGTAGTAAAACAACGTTTGAACTGCATATAGAAAATTATGTTTATATTAAGTTTTACACAAGCCAGAATTAAGATTAAAAGTCTAACAAAGTAAGATAAAAATAACGGCAGATTTAGAGGATGTACGAAACAAATATAGAGCGGGAATATCTGTAGGAAAACTATCAATAAACTTTTTGAATGAAACAAATTAACTAATACTAACTGATTTGTTGTGAAGTGTTTATACAGTAGGGAGAAAATATTTTGTTTTAACGTTGAAATAATGATGGATGTCGAAAATTTATCAGGGGACTAATAAACAATCAATCTTTTGAAGTCTTTATTGATAAATCACTAAACATTTGACGAACGTTATGATTCGACAAAAAGCAGAACACTTTTGACGGCAGTAATATTTTGTAAAAACGGAACTGACAAATTCATGAAGAATGGCAATTCATGGTGGCAATAATTCAACAATAAGTAGGCTTGTGTCAAGAAATTTGAGATACCATTTGCTTTATCTAACGTTACTAACAAAACGACTTCTATGGTCTTCAAAATTTGTAACCAACGTTGTGTAATAAATATAACCTACAAAGTATGTCGTATATTCTTTGTTATTGCTGTTTAGTGCCTACTGATGAGAACCAACAAGTTCGAAAACAGTCTGTGTCGTATCCGGTGCTTTTGCTGATGAATGATCTTAGCTATTTACTGATCTATGTTACTGTAGTTGTAATTCAAGGCTAGACAGAGCTGTAGTCAGCAAAGTAATTTCTTCCTAGATTATTGGTTAAAAACTTTATTACGCCTAGTGCGACACTAGTCATAGACTAGCAGGTAGTTCTATGCCAGTAAGCAAGCAATAAAGCAATGATTTGGTCCATTGAGACCGCGGACACCCTGTATACTTTTTAACGCCACCAGAACGTCTTTTATTCGATACCTTCATCTCCAACCATTCAGCCAACATAACATACAAAGTTACTAGCTCGTATAGCACCTATGTTATTAATAGTTTTAATGTATTGTCGACTTTAACGACTTCTTGAAGGAAGTGTTTATATTCTTGTTGTAATTTCGCTTTTACTGCTACTAAAAGTAAAAGGTACAATATTCATAAACCTCCCATCCAGTGTTTTATTACCCATTTGCTCAAATATTGAACAGAGAAAGGTTTATTACGTTTTGCATTAATTTCATTTGAATTTCAATGAAATATTTATGGAACAGAAGTAGGGAATACATGAATATTTTCATTTGGTTCGGAGGAGACGTTTAAATTGGTTTTGAAATAGCATCCGATAAATTAACTGTGATTTTAGTTCACATAAATTTCATCGTGATGTACTAGAGTTAAAAAACAAATGAATCAGACTGCCAGTTCACCAAAAGGACAGATAAATAAATAATGGAATAATAAATTTAAATTACACGTTGAACGAGACGTATGTACAATATTTATAGATGAAATAATGCTTGGCTATTTGTTCTAAGGCTGCTCTCACACGGTACGATGTTTTGTCGCCTTACTCTTGAAGTTTGAAACAAGCATAACACAGTAGTTTTAGTAATTAACAACAATTATAGCTATTTTAATTAATGTGTAAGTGAATAGAGACTACTTTTTGAAAGATGGATACTTTAATATACCTTTCCAGAATAGACCAAAGACAGGTCTTACAGCATGAAACATGGGTAACATTTAAATAGTTGACTATAAACAATTAATTTGTAATCAAAAATATAGTTTTTATATCAGCAATTTATCAAAAACATGTTATTCTTATTGCTATATCATCTGACATCGTATTAAAAAGTTATCTCTGCTAAGATTAATAATTAATTTCATGAAGCTTATATTTGGTTCTGTTTAATAACGATAAAACGTTTTTATAAATTGTTTAACTAAGTGGGATCTACGTTAAATAATTTAGGGTTTCATTAAATATAACCACTAGTGGAGGAACAAACTCTCCAGATGTTTTGGCTAACTTAAATAAAACCTGCTATTAGTTCCCTGCGTCAGGGCATAGATTAATGTTATAAAAGAATGTGTTCGTTAATTAATCACAATGTATACGGTGGCTAGTGTTTAAATTCTCTTTCTAACATTGATAGTTGTTAACATCTCAAATATTATATAAAACTATAAGTTTCAGAAACAAGCTTTGGATGTTTTTGGTGTTATTTGCATCTAAAGCAACTTTTCCATATTGGAGAACTTATTTTCAGTCTTTCATTCCATACAGTAGACACCCTGTACAGATGCATCCTGACATACTGATTTGTTAAACACTCACAATAACATCTAAACTCACTTCTAATTATAAACCCACCTCTGTTTCAAATTCCAGAGCAATCCAAGGCTTGGGATTGGATTGAAGCTGTGCACACCGATATCTGGAAAGTCATAATTTCCATCAGCATAAAAAGCAGTGGATATTTCAAATGTCCTAAAGGGAAAAATAATAAAAATTTGTATATAATGTGTAGAAAATTTCTATATGTTCATTTGGCCAACAACATATTTTAATTATATATGTACTCAATTTTCTTTATATAAATTAAATTGTCCGCTTAATTACGTCTCTTGTCATGTCATCGACAGTTTTATTTTCGCTTCCTCTTTACACAATAATCTATAACACCTTGTTTAATAACACGAAAAATTGTGGACACTGAAACCTTAGTTAATTTGTGAATTCTATTTATACTTTGTGTCTTATAAAAGGGAGTACTCTTTTATCAACACAATTGAGTAGAAGTTTGAATAAAAATTTGGTACATATTATAAATCGCCTGGTTTTTAGTGGCAATACATCAAATCTGTGTAGAATTTTCTGTTCCTTGTGGAGGATAATCTATTTTAAAAGCAAGAAATTTTTTCAAGGTCACTTATGGCTTGTAGGAACAGAAGAGGGTCCAAATTTGAACCCCGTGGTATTCTAGAACTGACACGATCTATGGATCTGGTACTTTCATATTTAGCAAATTGTTGAGCCTAATAAAATGATTATAAATAAATAAGAATAATTCTGTTTTAATAACGCTGAAAAAAACTGACGTCTAATTTTCACAGTTCTGCTTTAGGATTATCTGGGTTAATGTAATTACATAAAAAAATTACGATAAGCTATCGAAAAAATTAATAACACACGAGTAGATTGACAGCTCACAGACATTGTGTGGTGTTGCCTTCCATACCACGCCACGTTTTCGTTTTCTATAAGAAACATTCCTTTTGAGCTATTGAGTCTACTATTACGGTTACATAACAAAACATCGCTTCGCCCACAAAAAGAATTAATTTATTTTACACGTTTTTCGCCTTGTACAGCGCCTTTAATCTCTAATAATAACTCAATCGCAAGTCAAAAGCGGACGTCGAGGATTTTTTACACCTAGTAGTCCCGATTCTGGCCGGTTATTTAACCACGACGAATAAATTACATATTCCAATGTGTCATGTAATCCAAATACGACCTGTTATTGGGCCTCGGACCCTCATAATGGCGGCGTGGCGTGCTCAAAGGGGCCCGAACGAACCATCAATCAATCATCCGACAATAATGGACAAGTAATTTAAAAATACATTCTTCCGCGACCTCCGTTCTAACCTCGAATTGTTACGCTGCGATCGCGTTGATCCGCGCCGTGCTGTCGTGTTGAATTCTGGAATTAAACGCCAATGACGTGTGGGGGGCGGGAGCATCGATTTTTTTATTCGGTGGGTTTTATGGACAGCGCGATATTTAATTAGCTTAAATCTCTTTCCCACAAAACACTGTAATTGGCGATATTATGCACTGCAAAAGATAATACTGTAAAATTACAAACATGCGTTGTGAATTTCTGTAAAATTACATTATATGTAATTCCAAATCTAATGTGGATTCAAGACTGTTGCCTTTTCAAACAATAGAACCCAGTTTTATTATGGTAATAAATTGCCAAACTGAATATTGTAAAATTACAATAACGTAGATAGGTTACTTGTAATAGATATACAAAAATACCTCGAACTTAAATGTGAACTAACGATTACGTTAAGAATTTAATTAAATTAAAATATACTGTAAAATTACAATTATGGAATAGGTTGTTTCCAGCAGTAAGTATATTTTGTCAATTTCAGTTTTAATGTAATTTTACAATTACATCATAAATCTACGAAAATTTCCGTAAAATTACATGTAGTCTGCATATCTAAGGTTTTCTTTACTTCTTCAAATAAAAAATTGTTTTATTGTGGTAATAAATTGCTAAACTAAATATTGTAAACTTACAATAATTGAAATGGGTTACTTGTTGCCGATATTAGGTATAAGTTGTAAAATTTCAATTGAAGTGTAAATTTACAATTAATTACATTAGAAAGTGTATGAAAATATTATGTAAAATTACATTGCATGTAATTATATTATATTTTTTTTATGAATTAAAAACCAATAATTATTTCTTCAGAAAAAAAGCGACACTAACAGACTTTAATTGTTACAGTATCTGCTGCGTGAATTCTTATTATGGACAGCTCAATAAGAGGTATAAGTTAAAATTACATTGAAATTACATTAAATTAAGAAAATTAAGCAATCTATTTTCAGGGGCTAACCTTATATAGTCTCTCTGAATTCTTTATTGGCAAAATGCTTATTTATTTATATATAACCATACATTTTTCATACATTAAGGTTATGTAACATTTTTAGTTTTCCTTTTGATAAACAAACATTTAAGTATTCAAAACGCTCTTTGTTCTGACTGCTGCTCCTATTAACCTGTCACTCTGTTCGAAGCAAACTCATTCGGAATATGCGAATTTGTAGCATAAAAGACATACCTATTATTACAGCTGCTACCAATCATCATGTGTTGCGGAATATATAAAATGTACTACCAGTAATTACATTTGGCCACACATATCGACCAGTGGTTGTGCTATAATTATAATATTGAATCATATTGGAATACATTGTTGCATTGACATTTTTAGTGAAAACTACCAACTTACCGTAGTTGTCTGTAATGTTTCACTTTCTTTTTTGGAGAAATTTACAGGCTGTTCGCCAATTCAAAAAGTCACGTGACTTAAAACGTGATCCAACAAAACCCCTCCATATCTTTTTAGCCGTTGAAAATATCCAAATATAATTCTAAATATTTCAAATTTTCACCCCCAAGAACGACGGTGACAAAATTATGGGGATGTTTCGCATGGTACTAGCTATGTCCTGTACAGATTTAGTTTTGCGCAACTCACTCGGTTTCAAAAATACAATACCTATGTACGTTTTCAGCCACGAAATTTGAATAATTCTAAATATTTCGAATTTTCACCCCCAAGAACGGCGGTGACAACATTTTTAAAATTATGGCGATGTTTCGCATGGTACTAGCTATGTCCTGTACAGATTTTGTTTCGCGCAACTCACTCGGTTTCAAAAATACAATACCTATATACGTTTTCAGCCACGAAATTTGAATAATTCTAAATATTTCGAATTTTCACCACCAAGAACGGCGGTGACAACATTTTAACATTAAGGCGATGTTTCGCATTTTATTAGCTATGTCCTGTACAAATTTAGTTTGCATAAATACAAAATATTATTGATACACACTGTACTTGTACTAAAAACCTATAATATTGGCCATTTCCATTATGTTCCATTTACATTCCAAGGACGATCCGATCCTGCATTGTCTACGAGACAAATACACGCACTTCGCAGTGACAGAGACCGAGTTTCGTTTACCAGAAACTGATAATCGAACAACATTCCTAATTCATCTTTGCTTGTGAAAGTAATTTACTTAAGTGCCTGGGTGTGCTATTCATCCTTACCCCTTATTAATCCGAATACCAGCTCGTGTAACATCAAGTGATCAGTGTAGTTTATCAAGCCGCCCAGGCCTACTACAGCAAATTGAGGTTCTAATGATCGCCAGCCGCAAATTACGTTAGGCAGTTTGCGTTGGCCATGTCGGAGATAGCACCAGATTACGGTATTAGTACTTTCATTGAACGGTTCTAGTGAACAGTAGAAATCAATTAATTCCATATAGAAGGTTTGTTTATGACTAAAAGAAGATTTCTTCAAGAAAAACTAAGGAAAGCGACCCAATTTCCTAAAAATTTAGTTTTTTTTTAATATCCCTTAATTTCTGAGCCTAGTGTATATAAATAAGTGATCTGCATTACAAATCAATGAAATATGGGTTTTTGTTTATGCTGATTAAGACCACGTAGCCAGATTCCTTAAATCCCTATAGCGATTTTTCCAAAAATTACTCAACCAAATCACTGAAGGCCATAAATTGCCAAATGATTATCGTAATTGTTTCTGCAAGCACGTATATCATATTTTATAAGGGTGTCATCGTTTCTAACGCAACACACTGTATATCTTTAATTATTTTATGAAACGTTTTTTTTTAATGCTGTTCATAAATTTAATTATATTAAGGTACTCATTCTATAATTGGTTATCTGTTAAATGATGTCAACAAATCAATGAATAAATAAGAAATGAAACGGCCAGCAAGTTCACCAGATTCCAGTACTCTAGAGTACAAATGACACGAATTAAGGTATTCAACAGCGAAGTAAATTGAATAGTACTAAAACGTCTCTATAATTTGTCTGAAACATAACAGAATGTCCAGTTAAATTCTGTGAGACGAGAAAATTTCCGATACTTTGTCTCTTTTACTGTTTAAATCACCACATAAATAAAGATTACTTCATTTCAATGAAGTAAAAATTAAATAGAAATTCAGAAGTCTCTTGTTGCAGGGGTAAATGGTATATTTATACAGCAATCAACGGTAAACATCGTACCTAATTCATGAAATTGCCTATTTAATAATGGAGAGAGAATTTCTCAAGTATTTATCCACTAGAGGACAAAAGGAATACAATTCCGGGCAGTAAAGGTATAAATAATTTTATCGTAGTTTCGTTCCATAGTTATGTAAACAAAAAACGGTTAAAATTAAACTTGGGGATTTTTTTTTACTGGCTTAATAAAAGAAGTCGATTGCTAACAATTTATCTGAGTCGTATAGAAAAAATAAAATATTTAAGAGGACGTGGTGATCCAATTTCATGGCCTCCTCATTCACCGGACTTAAGTCGTTTAGAATTTGATCTCTAGTGATATTTAAAATAGTCGGAGAAGTCAATAGTGCTAAAAAATTTTCTCTTCGAACTGAAGAGACCAATAAGTTCGTCCTTACTTCTTGTTCCAGGTCAGTCTTTATTTATCTTTTTTTTTTAATTTTTTTGCATTTTTGGTGTACAGCCAGAGCTACAAAACAAACTTTCAGCTTAAGAATCACGCTGTACTTATGAGTTCTGTTGTATAAGAAAAAGTACACTTCTTCACATCTAGAAAACTTTCATAAAATTAAACGATTTTGCCATAATCTATTCCGCTATTCATCGCCCGAAGAAAATACCGTTTTAATGCACCTTATTCTCTCCCATACAATGTGCTAAATCTCGGAGAATAACATTACACTTAATTATAAT